CCACCTGAAAAAAAAGTTAAGGGCAAGCCCTGCAGTAGGGGCACAAAAATAATCTTCAACAAGTGTCTGCCACTGTTGAGCGTTGGCTCCAAATTCAAGATTACATGAACGCAAATTGTTCAGAGAACTCGCCACATCAAGTTCTTTGGATAACTCCATAATATAATCTCAATAAACACGTAAGAACAAGCTATAATACACATGAAACTAGACGCGACAATTTTTATAATTCCTTTGTTTACGATCGCTTTCGAACATGAGCGTGACTTCAGCCAATCACGGAAGCGCTTTTACTAAAAATGACGTGACGTATAGCAACAAAGGAACTATGTTTACAGGTCTTTTAGAGCATTTAATTGGTCAAAGACGACGTCATACACTAAACCTGTATTAATACGCAGCTCCGCCCAAGGCTGATCTAAATGTAGATGTGAAAATCAGGGAAATCGGCTGAGAAATGGTGGATCATTGCGCGATAGAAAAAAGGGCTTTGTTTCAACTTTTTCGGCTTAATTTAACATAATAGTTCTATTTAAATCACAAATTTAAATGCTTTTAAATCTTGATTTGATGGAATTGACCACACTAGGTGTTAGAAAACATTCTAAAGTATAATAATAATGTGTACATTAGAAATAGATATTTTTAGTGTTAATGCCTTCAATGGGCTATTACGCGAAATGAACTTGTGCAACTTCCGACTGATTTTGCTATCACCGGTCACATATTGTCTTTCAGGAAAGGGGCAAATAGAATCGTTTATAGCTCAATAATAGTTATTCCAGTGAGAGCAATTTCTCTTCACTATTTCTGGTTTTATATTCCAGGTACATGGTCGCAAACAAGCTTCCAGCCACGTCACCCGATTGCAACCCTTACGTCGAATTACTGTTTACGATGCTGAGTGCGGTGCACCGATTGCCTAAAAAAAAATGACGAGATTCCAGCTGATGTGTCTCGATTATCACCGGATACAGTTGGTTATAACGCAAAACTCACTGCTGTGTCGGGTGTTGGACCTTCCCCAGGTCAACGAGGAGCTGGTTCGTAGCTGGTATGTACATTAACTTTATCCAACCGTTGAACAACCGGGCCCTGTATAAACTTTGCCCCATGAGCTAATAGAGATGAGGTGACATGTTCTAATAGCTGTCAGTGAACCTATGGCATTGAAATTCTATCTCAACTTCATAATGAAATATTTTTTGAAATAGTTTCTAGGCATAACAAAGGTCTTAAGAAGAGACAAGCAGAGACGTTGAGCCATGGCATACAAACAAAGGTGACACCGCTGACAACCACGTTAACCCTGCCAGAGCCAATGGACCTGCCCACGACGCTGCAACGTGGTAGTACACCTAGTTCGTTTGCTTTCACAGCACCACGGAAAATGGCTGGTGAAGCCAAGAAACGACAACACGCACAATCCACAATCAGCAGGAAAGTCCGGAAAATAGCGCCAACGCTGCCTGGTCAATCAAATGTGTTTGTCGTACCACAGGGTACGTTTGTGCCCAACATAGTTTGGTCTACACCACCAGTCACGTCTGCGCCACCGTCTGTGTCACCGTCTGTTCCACGGTTAAAGCAGCCCAGATGCTTTAAACATTGTGGGGAAATATGGACATCCGAAGGAAATACAAATTACATGTTCCGTGTGTACTGTCCCTCAAAAGAAACCGTGTCTGTTGAGGAGTGGAAGGCTGCCCTCAAGGACAAAGGTGTTGGGAAAAGGGTTAAAGACACGAAACAAAATGACTGAAACTCATTGAGCCCCGATGCATCTTAAAGTGTCAACTGCCAGTATAGAGGTGGAAAGGAAATGGGCAACAGTATGGTTTATGCCATACTGTTATGTCAGGTTATATACCTTCCCGCTTACTATACTGACAGCCGACAGTAAGATGCCCTTCCAGGGTATTAATCAATGTTAGTTGATGGGAAATGTGACATAACACGCTCACCTTTGATTAATATCCTGGACTGGTCTGGGGCTCAATAGTTAAATTTGTGCTTCGGATGTCGATTATCGTCCTGCATCTAGCAGGTCAGCTACCGTCTAACTTGGATTTTAACTATATCTGTGGCAGCAATCATTATGAACTTAAACCCTTTTATTGGCCTTTTTATATATTTTATGTATGTATGTATATTAACTACCAGATTATGCATTACCGTGAAAATCGCAATTCTGCCATTTTAACTTTGGTACATTCAGCTGTCAGTTACCACATTCAGTTTAACATTCACAGATTAAACATTAGCTGTTTAAATTTTATGACATTTTAGCTTATTATTGGCCTTTTATATATTTTATGTATGTATGTATGTATATTAACTACCAGATTATGCATTAGCCTTGAAAATCTCAATTCTGCCATTTTAACTTTGGTCCAATAAAAGAATGGACTATGTACTTGCTGCCAAATATACTAGTTTCTATTGTAACACCACAACTTGTCTAATAAATGAGAAAAGCTTTAATAGTTAAAAAAAAGAATAAAACATGCAGATAATGTCCTCACTGAAGACTTTACACAGAATTATGTACACACCGCCCAGCCTTGTAGTGGTTCTTCAACTCAGAACCCTACACAGGAGGTAGACTCACCCCAGAATAGTAATGGTAGTGAACCTATTTCTGGCAGTGCTTTTTCAACTCGGGTCACCACACATGAGGAGGTAGACTCACCCCAGCTTGGTAGTGAACCTAGGTCTGGCAGTGCTTCTCCAACTCAGGACACCACACAAGGTGTGATTTTTAGTGGAGCTCTCCATCATGCCTCTTAAGGGTGTGATTTTTTTAGTGGAGCTCTCCATCATGCCTCTTAAGGGTGTGATTTTTTAATGGAGCTCTCCATCATGCCTCTTAAGGGTGTGATTATGGAGCGTGAAAAGAACCCCTATGCTGTCCTAGGGGAGTCATTAGTAGTCCTCCTGTACTTTTCAAATCTGAAAGCCTGTTGATGATTCTATTTTTGCTGGGTTATCCTCGATCTGCCAGCTGTACGTATATCATCTAGATCAGATATTTATCACGGAAGTTAAGTCTGAGTCCTTGGCTATTAAGAAAGTGGAGCAATTTCGATTCGTCCAACAAGCCCTTCTCCGTATTTTGTTTCTTTTTAGAAGCAAATAAATAGCACTAACAACAGCAACAACCTTTTTTCGTCATTTCGCCATTTTGTACCGATCACATGATAGACGGAAAATCCCGTCGAGTGGCGTATGCGTACGCTCTCAAATTCGCTATGTGTGCACCTTCGTGATCGAGCGTATAAATTCGCTGGCGATTTTAATCGTCGCGATCAGGCGAAAAAATACGCTCGTGTTCCCCTAGCTAAGCTTAAAGAAAACAGGGACAAAAGAAAAAGGGAAGGTGACTGAGAGAATGAAGAGAAGAGAAAGCGCAGCTACAGAAAAGAGTGGGAGCGGGAGTTCAAGTGGCTCGCGTATGACGACGACAATGGCGTCATGTTTTGCCGAATCTGTAGAGAGGTAAAAATGACAGGAAAACAGGGGAAAGGAAAGAATATCTTTCATGATGGATGCAACACCTTCAAACTCTACTCGATAAAGAGACACGACGAAAGTGATAACCATCGCCGCGCGCTAGAAATGAAGGCCGCCAGAGAGGCATTACCAGGGACGTCGAAAGGCGAGAAGATGATTCAGAAGATTGTTGTCGTCGTCGTTGTTGTCGTAATCTAGTTATGTTATTGCGATTATTTGCCAAAACACATTACCCATAGTTAGGATACAAATAAATTATTTAATATATGTAGCAACCGGGCCACCTGAAAATCCATTTGGCCACCTGAATCTCATACTCAAGTGGCCCGGCCGGCCACCTGAAAAAAAAGTTAAGCGCAAGCTCTGATTACTTACAATATTTACTAGCACTAGCTGTTTCTCTCCAATAAAACAAAATGGTGTCTACAATGATTTCCTTTAGTGTTTTTGTTTGTAACTCGAAGCAAACCGTTATAATTGGCAGGTTTCAATCGGACCTGAAGGACATCCTGGCTATGATGTGGTTGCAAACCTATCACAGGCACTCCTCGATCTACGAGATCATAGTTTGGCATTGACAAACACAGAGGCGATGACAATCTACAATCTGTGGGAGAAATTGGAGGACTATGATAAGAAGTCAAACTATGCAAGTCGCTACAAGGAGAAAATCGACACTGGCTTCTCCAAGAAATCCAATTCGCAGTGTAGTGTGAGTGGTGTTAATGGTTTGCAGAGGTGAATACATACATGAATTTTTTACAGGAGTTCATGCCGAAATGGAACTAGTTACATGTAGCCTAATATTTTGAGATGGTTTCCAGAGATTTTAACCTAACAAAATCTCAGGGAAGGAGTGCCTATGATGAATAGGTATATGCTGTCATATGTGACCGGTGATAGCAAAATCAGTCACATTGACATAAATTTTAAAACGGAGTTTTTATGGCCGCCATATAGCTGACACTTTCAGTTTTCATTTGGAATCAAGTTTTTGTAAATCGGTCGATTAGTTACGAAGTTATGGCATTTTGAATATCATAAGGCTGAAAACTC